ACCTGCTTGCTTAGGGTAGAACTCTATTTTTAGTAAGCACCAAAAAAATCCCCATGATACCCTATCCCCAGCACCTCATTTGTCCCTATTTGTTTACCAGGCTGTGTCCCATGCTGGCCTGAGGGCCAGGCAAGGGTAGGACCACATCGAATTGTCTCTACACCCATCCCCCCCCCAGGGTCTGGCACCAAACCAGCATTCAGTGAGTGTTTGCTGAAAGAAGGAGGTTTTAATTGTCCCCGGTGAATGGGTTGAGAGCAGGTGTTCCTGAGTGGAAATGCGGGTGACGAGAGGGGATGGGCTCCAGAGGGTTCTGTGAGTCTACCTGAAAACGGTATGAAAGGCACACGGAGGGCAGAGGGGGATGTGTAGGGGGGCGTGCAGGAGTTACGCACGTGAGCACTGTGTACGTGCCTGATATGCGTGTACATGCGCTCCTACAGTGTGTGTGCATATGGGATCTGCGGCTTTCATCAGCTTTGCAAAGGGCTGTGACCCAAAAAGTTTAAGGACCACCAGAATGGACTACAAGACCAGGAGGGCTGAAAGGTCAAGGTTGGTGCCATTTGCATTAGCTTACCAGGAGGGACACACCAGACCCACTGAGGCCTAGCAGCAGTGATCGTGCCCGATGGGTCAGTCCCTGACAGTCCAGAGGGGATGTGGCACTTCCGGAGGTGACAGGGACTCCCAGTACCCATCCATCTCTCCCAGTGCTTTACACATTGGGAGAAGTACTAATTCATTTCAACGAATTTGCGAGCACACACAAAGGAACGAAACTTCTAATCTGTCCACCGACAACCAGCACACCTCTCTCCCCTCCACGATGAGGTTAGGAGCACTGGTCAGGACTCCCACAGCTCTGTCCCCGTTCTTTCTGTCACCTTTTTTTGACCGAGGGAGACAGCTAAGTATAGTAAGAGTCATACTTTGCATGGCTCTAAGCAAATAAATTTGAAAACCTAAATAAAATGGATAATTTCTTAGAAAGATATGGCTTACCAAAATTGACTCCAGTAGACACAGAAAGTGCAAGCAGACCAATTCCCATCGACAACAGAGAACAGAATAGAAAACAGAAGAGAGAAAGCAATCAGAGAACAACCCCATAAAAAGGCACCAGGTCCGGATGGCTTCACAGGGGAATTCTATCACAACTTTAGAAACAGGATAGTCCCAGCAATACATATGTTGTTCCTGAGCACAGAAAAGGAAAGAAATCCGAACCACACCAAAAAGGACATTACAGACAAATATCACTCATGAATACTGCTGACAGGAATCTTAAACATTATCAGACACCAGCCCCACCACCATAAGTGACCAAGTGGGGTTTAAACCAAGAATTGTTCAATATTCAGAAATCTATTGGTATAAGTCAGCATATAAATAGATCTAAGAAGAATAAAATCATTTTTCCATAGATCCTAAGAAGCCGATGACCTAATTCAACTCTCATTCCTAATCAAACCTCTCAAGAAAACAGTAATGGGTAGATACTTCCTCAACATAATAAAATCCATACACTTCAGTCCTAAAGCAGACACCGAAGATATTCCTGCTAGGGTCAGAAACAAGCCAAGGATGCTGTCATTTCCACTACCAGGGGGCAGGCTGCTGAAGGTATTATTAGTCAATGCCATTAGATGAGAGAAAACCACAGAAGCACAATTTGAGGCTCCGGCTCCGTGAGGGCAGGGCCTGGGTCTTATTCCCTATTATACCCCCAGGATCTAACACAATAGATGCCCAGTAGTTAGCGGGATGAGGAAATGAGTAACAGCTCACATGAACTGAGCACCTCTGTTAAGAGAGCCAAGGGTTTAAAAAAATGCTCATAACAAATCACACTCTGTATTGACTTAAATAGGTCAGGGGGTGCCTGGGTGGCTCAGTCCGTTGAGTGTCTGACTCTTGATTTCGGCTCAGATCATGATCTCAGGGTCGTGAGATCGAGCCCCGTGCTGGGCTCCGTGCTGGGCATGGAGCCTGCTTAAGATTCTCTCTCCCCCTCTGACCCTGCCCCTCCCCCACTCTCTGTCTCTAAAATAAATAAATAGGTCAAGCCATTCAAGACAAACAACCCTGTGAGATAAGCACTATTATTTCAGCCATTTGACAGATAAGCAAACCAAGGTCCAGAGAGGTTAAAAGACTCACCCAAGATCACTCTGTTGGTAAATGTTTTAAACTCCAGTCTTGCCATAGTGCCCCTTACAAACTGCTTTGCATCTCGCTCATCAGATGAGGGAATAGTGAACCCTCACACAGTAGCTCAGAATGCAGCCTCTGGAGCAAGACTGCCAGGTTCATGTTTCAGCTCTGCCATTTACCAACCCTGTTCTCTTGAGAAAATTCCTTCACCTTTCCATGCCTCACTGCCTCCTCTGTAAAATGAGGGTGACAAGAGTGCCCACCTGCTAGGGTTGGAGGGTTATTGCATGAGCTATAATAGGCATCTGCTACGATGCTACAGTTCCATAAAATGAGCATCCGACTTCCCCCAAATTCCTAAGTACCATCACCAAGTTCTGACAATGTCTGTCCCATTCGCCGGCCCTTTCCTTCCTTGACGTTTGCCAAGCTCATGCACAGAGCTAAGGGTAGCCCTCACATGCATCACCAATATATTGTCACCCGGGACAAAGCCCAATGGCAAGCTAAAGGCTAGTGTCAGTCCTTGGGGAGTTCCACCATTAGAAGCAGAGAGGTGACCCCATTAACATCTGGGTAGCCAGAGCCAGACCCACATCTGGAAGAGCTCGCTTTGCCTCCCAAGGCTCACAACACCCCCTCTCTTCCTCAGCCATGATGCTACCTACTTTCCAGCAAGGAACTATCATTTACAGATTCCAAACTCCCCATTCCATAAGGCGGGGGGCTACACATAGGAACTCCTTTCCAAAGAGTACAGTTTGCAGAGGAGGGACTTTACGGTGGAGAAACCCGACAAATACTACTTTGGCCAAGCTGATCAAGGTCAGTATCAACGGTGATCAATCAAGTTGATAATAGGTACCCTTGATAGGATGTGATGGACACAGTCCCGTCAGCTGTGTGGTCTTCGTCCCCTAAACCCATAGCCCCAGCCTTTGCACGAGGGAAACATCAGAAAGACCCTAACTGAGGCACACTCTACAGCACACCTAACCAGTGCTCCTCAAAACTGTCAAACTCATAACAAACAAGGACAGTATGGACTCTAGGTCATAATAATGCATCAGTATTGGCTCATGAATGATAACAAACACATTCATACTAGTGTAATGTAAATAAAATGGGGACCTGGGTGCTCGGGATATGGCAACTCCCTCTACTGTCTTTACCAGTGTTCTGTACTCTCAAACTGTTCCAAAAAAATAAAGTTTTTTTTTTAAATGATTCCAGGGTTTTCGCTGTGGCCATTTAGACACCCATCTGGCGGCCACCAAGCACCACTTGCCAAGAAAAACTATAAAAAGCACCTCCCATCAGATTTGGCTTGGAAACTATTTCCCCGGAAATCTCCCCTGTGCAAAAAAAAAAAAAAAAAGGGGAAAAAAAAAAGTTAGCTGATTGTGAATCTGGGAGGGGTAGAAGTTCCCTGCAAAACATGACTTTAATCTTAACAAACAAAGAGCGCGGATGTTAAAGGAACCTTAAAGGGATCATTTGCAGATTCTTAGTTGTATCTTTTCAAAGCAAAGGAAGGCCTCCAGATTGCAACTCGAGAAGACTGGTCTCTTTTGTTGGCTAATTATTTCCATCTCCAGCCAAAATACAGAATGATTTACTAACTACCATCTTCCTTGTCATCTAAGCCAAAGCAAGTCCCTCACCTAACGTGGCCAGTGAAGACCATGAGGGAAGGAAAGTTAAAACTTCTCATTCACCTCCCTTACACAACATCTCTGAGAAGCACCAAGCCTCCGTGAAAAGGCCTCCTACACCAAGCAGCCCGCACAACCCCTTCCTGCACTCCGGATGCGGCCAAGCCCGAGTGCATCTGGAAGTTACCAACAGGCCTGCCCCTGAGGCTTCAACAAGCATTGGCTGGGTTGGGCTGTCAAAATCAGGAAGCCTGGTTGGGGCTGGGGTTTTTTTGTTGTTGTTGTTGTTGTTTTCCAAGACAACCTGCTAACCAGAAAAATACAGTGAGGCTGGGCATGCGACCTCCTCCACCTTCTGACAAATGTTCCTGCTAACCCACGTGAAGTGATGGCCCAGCCTGGGGAAGTCCCCAGCCACATCGAGCACCTAAAAGCATGGACTGACAGGTCGCTGAGGCAGGAATAGGCTTCTTCTTCCTGAATCCACACGCCAGGCTTCGCCCGCAAACCCCACATGCACGATGACTGGGGGCTAGGGGACCACATAACAAAGCTCAGACTGATCCATCTGGGGTGATCCACAAAGGCAGCAGCAGAACCCAGGGACGAAAGGGGCTGGCTTCCTAACACTGAAGCCAAACCACCCTCCAGCATCAGACACAGACAACCTCTTCACCAGTTTCAACACCAAGTCCCCAGCAAAGTCAGCTCACAGGCGGTGCTGTCTGCGGAGAGGAGGGTCAGCGTCCCAGGCCCTGACGGTTGGGCGCAGTTGCAACCTCTTTGTGCATCAGTCCCCTCCCTGCTGACTCCATTCTTTGGCTTCCTCACCTCCTCCCTCCAGAGGCAAATCAATCACTTCCTTTCCCCTCCGAAGACCCTGCAGCAGGCAAGAGCCAGCTGAGGCCCCTACCACCCCTTGCTTTGCTACAGTGACCCTCAGGGACAAGCCACCAGTAACTGCAGCCTGACGCCCTACTGGGCAAAAGTGAGCCTACCGCCCCCTAAAGGTGGCAACAGTCCCAGACGCCTCATGCCCCCCCTCTCACCTGGGGAGACGCACCCCTCCCTCCCTCCACCCCCCCCAAAGTGTGACATCGGGACCAAAGAGGGGCCTCGTGTCCACTCCGCAGGCCCAAGCCCCCGCCCGGGCTCGGGGGGTGCAGGCCGGGAGGAGCCTCCACCGACCTTCGATAGGATTCAAATACTCATAGTCGAAGAGGATGGAGAAGTCGAACTCGTCTTGGGGGCTGCCCCCGGGCTCCTGGCCCGGGGCGTCCCCGCCGTCGGGCTCGGGCTGCTGCTCCGGGGCGTCCATGGCGCGCAAAGCGGCGGGAGGGTGG